ATATATATATGAGTCTTTTTTATGTCACATTTTAGATCCTCTTTTTTTTCGAAAAATGAACTTATATTAAAAATTTCGAAATACTATTGATGAAATGAATCCACCATCTAGCCATAAATGTTATATTTCTGAGTTTAATTCCGTCAAATTAGAGCGTAACAGCTACTTTTGTGTTAGCTTCCTAGGAGAATGTTCTCTCCTGTTACCAACAGAAATCATAGAGCTGTGTTACTGGAATAGGTTTTGGAGGGGCTAATACAATATAATGTTTGTGAAACTAGCTCTATTCAACAGGCAAATAATATTTTTTTAAACACTTACGTTTTACAATCCACGGAAAATTATTTCAGGTTAAAGTGCTAAATTTAAAAATCAATGAACATTGTACAGTTTCAGTTTGTGATTCTCACTTTAAGATCAAACACATTGTGATCACATGAATTTGTTATTCCTTTTAGCAGTAAGATGAAGCAAACCTCACACTTACTTTTTTTTTAAAGTTCAAGATTTTTTTAATGAACGCAAAAAGGGGTGGTAACAGGAGGGAAAAGTGGGTAACAGGAGAAAAAGTGGGTAACAGGAGGGAGCATAAAAGACTGTTATCAGGTTTTAACAGCAAATCTCATCAAGAATGAAACACCTGTCTACATACATTATTAGTGATATCATCTAAAGGAATAACTGAAGAATGGATGGGAATGTTAAAGGCATGTAACATATCGAGACGTTATTTACTGGGTGCAGTTACATACTGTAAAAAAACAAAAACGAAGGCTTGAAAGAATAAGTGGTCGTCGAAATGAAATGTATGGAGAGGCAACATTAAATAGGATGGTTTGGACGCGTAATGTGAATGGAGCCACAATAGAAAGCCACAAGGGTCTACAACATGCGATTCGATGGCTTCAGAGCAAAAGGAAGGCTAATAAAAATATGGATCGATGGATCCTTCAAAGGCACAATATGCCGATCCTAAAAGCAACACATCTGGCCCCTGACCGAGAACCGAATCTCTCTTCGACACCTCGCAGTATAAGAGATCAGATAAAGTAAGAGTAAAGTAAAGTTACCAGTGTGTAGTGTAGACAGTTGATTCTGCAAAGCCTCATCACGGGTGCTTTGTATTTCCTCTTCCATTTAACTTTGCGACGTTAGCATGTACTCTTGCTTCATTGGTTTGAAGGTTGCTCCATGTTTTACCTTAAACTGATGGCCGATATTAGAATCATGTAACTTGTACTCAGGGGCGAAGGCTGACTTGTTTGACAGGGTAATCAAAATGAAACGGGACCATATATGGCCTGTAGATATCACACAAGAATCTTATTCGAGGCGGCGACTCTGACCGAGTTGTGAATGAAAACAAATCCGGAATTCATATTGTATGTTCAACCGCCAAAATAATCGGGAAAGTATCTTATTAAATATCAGTTCAAACTAATACTAAATTTAACTTTAGATGTGAATACATAAACACAAAGCAGAGAAGCAGAGATGTCAGTACTAAATCTATATGTTATAGATCTACCAGTGAGTCTAACTCTTTGGTAGAACATGACAATTATTATCATTTTTTAAATTTCACATTTGGCTGTTTTTGTTAATCTTTCGCGGCCAGGAGCTGGTGTCATAATCGAGGTCACGATCTGATTATAGGACGGTAAAAAGTCGAGGGGAAAAAACAACCACATGCAGCAGTCAAGAGATTATTAGGAGTTAGTTCCCCTCACATCTGTGAGGTAGACTCAACCAGTGTAATAGTTAGCTTTCATAATCAGGGCTTGTGATTGATTATAACTGTGGCTCCAAAGGGGTGAACAGGGTATATGTGGCAATGAAACAGCTTTGACTGCTATGCACATGTTCCCTTCAACTCTATTGGTAGACTCTTCCAGCCTCACTTTAAGCTTACTTAATCAAAGCTTGCGACTGCTTATGGAGTGGCCCGAGAGGCTATTTCTGTGGCCGTGAAACCGTTTTGAATGTTAGGCATACTCATTGTTGATTAAGAAACGTCTTTTTACATTTAATTTAAGAGGTTTACGTTTAAGGATGAATTTGACAGCGACAATGTTTCAAAATTAGGAAGGGAAGCAGTGATTATTTGATTATATAGACGCTTCGCCCCTGCTTGTACTGTCGAAACGTTTTCTGGAATAACGTCCACAAAGTGCCATCAGTCTCCCAGTTTTATTCTCTTCTTAGTGATACTTAATTTATTCTGTTCGCCGTTTAGGATTTCTATTTTCTTTCATTAGGCCAACTACCCATTCCTGCCACGTTGCAGTGAGTCTCATATCATATGTTCTCGTAGTATGCTAGGATTGGATCCTTTTACTTTTCTTCAATCCTTCCTCTTGCATCTTTAGATGTTGAGGGGAGGTGCAATTTTCGATCAGGGGCAGTGTAGGTGGCTTCTGTTGTTGAAATGTTATTCTTTTGGAGGACCTCTATAACGCTATCGGGTCAAGTTTAGCGTGGATTGCACCTGTTCTTGTATCCGGACATATTAGAGCTGTAAGCTTGTTAAGCTGGTTGATTTGGTGACACTCTCATCAGATGACCGAACCACTTCATTCTTTGATGTTCTTGTGCAATAACCAGGTTTATTCCCTGTCAAGTTTCGTTTGATTCCCTATCAGTCTTTCGTCTTCCTGTTTTATATTGAAAGTCAGTGTTAGAAGGAATATGTTGTGAATAAGTTGTATTTTTACTTCAATTGGTTGGTGTTTATGGGTGAGTAGTGCTGACAATTTATAGGTTTCTGCATTTACTTTTGGGTCCTGATTTTCCTATGTCCAATCTTTCGTCATGTGTAAGCATGCTCCCAAGCTATTTAAATTCCTCAACTTGTTTAAGTTGTGTCCCGTCGATGGTGGTGTTTAGTAGTGGGACTGGGTTTCAATGATCACACGATCTGTGCCTGCATGTTTTGGCCAAACTTGAGCAGGAATAACCGTCAGATGAACACAATGCATAAACAATGCGTCAGCTGTAAATTATGAGTTATCACAAATCTTGCCCTTACAAGTGTTTTGATCTGATTATTAAATTGCTTCCGCCGCCAAAAGCTTGTAAACTAAATGTTTGAACTGCTCTGGTACTGTCTGTACAGATGTTCTACGATGTCATTCAACAAACGCTTTGGGGTTCTACAAAATCTCTTTCAAGGTAACAATATTTTTTAACCGTTCAAAATTCTCGAGTTAACAGGCCGAAAAAAATCCTAAATGTGCAATTGATCCATCGGAAGAGTTAAAAGCACTTTTTTCTTCAGTTTCCTTTTGTTCTTTATGTTGACAGTTCTACAAAATTAAAATTTGCTCTGGATTTTGTACTTTCTTAATATTTTTCCAGAAGCTAACATTCGAATACTTTTGTTTTTCTTTTTCTTGTATCGGCCTTTCAATTCATCCATGAGAGCTAAAGGAAATTCCAGTGTTCTTTTCACTGCCTTCTAGCTCTCAGATAAGATTTTCATTTTCTACTTTAATTTTTTTTTCTGCGCTGTTTTCATTGCAAACCTACATTTTAGTCTAGGAAAAAAAACACCCTTGAGGATTGGGCATCCGTTGTA